AGAACTAAAATAAACAGCATGATTATCTACCAACGCACAGCACAAGAGCTCACAAAACAGGACCAATTGGATTCCTCTCCAATAAGGTGACATGTTTCTTAGGCCTCAACTACAACAGTACGAAAGTAAGAGGCAAACCAAATCATAAGAGTTATCAAGTACTTCCAAAGACTACACAGAATTAAACTAAGACAGTAGAACTCGCAAGAAGCTCATTCCTTCACAGGTGTAAGAGAGTGGAGCAATGGTCGGCTGGCTCAAAACAAGCAGGTGGGAAGTGTGTGGGGTAACAGGGCGAGCTCTGCATAGGAGAGGCAGCCACTGCTGCCCCCTGCCCCCTCGAGGCTCTGTCACTCTATACAGGCCCACACGATAATGGCATTGACTGACCCACGGCGAGCCCCAAAATGGCGGCCACTGACCCACGGCGAGCCGCAAAATGGCGGCCACTGACCCACGGCCTTATCCAAAAGGGCAGTGACTGAGCCATGGCCAGCAGTAACCCAGACCTGTTGGAAGGTTTTTTCCAGAAGAAAGTCAAGCTGACCCCCAGAGCGGGTAAATGGGGAGAAAGCCACTGACCCTCCGTGGGTTAAAGAGCAGTTTGTTAATGAACTCCTGAGAACTGGGTTGTTTCTCCCAAGTACAAATAAGAGTGAATCAAAGTACCTTCCTAGAAACCTGACAAGAGGGCTGGAGCTTTACAAGTGGTTCGCCAGTAATGACTCAAAGAGGTTGTACCATAAGAAAAATGATAAAAGAGAGCATGACATTTCCCGTTTTAGCAAACTTTTTTCACTTTGTCTCCCTACTGAGAGGCCCCACAGAAGACTATGCTTTAACTACATTTACTACACAAAGCAAACCTTCTATTATACAAACATAAACTAATGAACTTCTAAGTACTTAATGAAGCACTTTACACCACTTGAGTGGCTTTCTCCTTGCCTCTCTAGTCCTAGACACAAGGTCACTCAGAAAAGCAACAGCCACCTAAGCTTCAGCAGCAGAGGCTCACCAGCACACAACTCTGGACTCGTCGCTTTATCAGCCCGGACGATAAAAAATAAACCACTGCACCCACTATCACACAACTTCTTCCCACATACACCAGGGCAAAGCCAAGTCACAGCACGAGATCAGCAATGTGTCATGTTCACTCTTTGCCGTCCAGAGCTGAAGACCTGCCTCACATCCCCTCTGGGTACCCCTGAGAGCAAGGGGCACACAGAACCACCTGTTTCTTCTTCAAGGTGCCTGGCATCTCACTCTGCACTCCTCAGCAATCCACTGGCTGGCAGAGCGGGAACTGCTGTGGGGAACACTACACAGCACTCTTCTATTTCTCTAAGATGCAACAGCCTATGCCCCAAGACCCTATTAACCAGTTCTGAGCAAAAACAAAAAACAGATTATGGCCATCTTTCCTCATCCACAAATCAGCTTCCAAGCCAAGCCAATCGAGTTGGAGAGGGAAGCTGGAGAGCCTGCTGCCCTTTTTTTTAACAGCTGCAATTGTCTCATTCTTGCTTCATCTGCACTTGTTAAAAACATACCCACATACTCAGTTACAACACTTCCCACTTGCCTCTTGGTCTGCTCGTGGTCCAAAGGCAACTTAGAACCTGGCAAAGTCTTTATTTATTCAGCTTAAACATTTCAAGCCCTGCCAAGCAAAGAAGACAGTAAGACAAATGAGCATCTTCCAGTGCCTACCTTATTTTAGGAGACAGAAAAAACACTTTTACTGCAGTTACTAAGCAAAAAGGACTTAGTGAATCCAAGACAAAGCAAACAATTAACTAAGTAGCATCACCAAGTCAAGCCACAACTTAGTTTCTCCTCCCTATGTAACACAAAAATAGTTTGAGAACTCGCTAATTTCCACTGTTCACAACATAAACTGTTCTGGATTGACACTTGAGAGAAATTTTAAAGCATGGCTCACACCTGGCCACTTGCAGTTTGCTGCAATTTCTGAACTGTAGAGTCTTTTTCAATATTGGAGTTCCCATGCATCATCACCTGTAACTTTCAGAGAACTCCCCGTATTTTTATTAGATTTTGCTTCCCAAACTTGAGTGGCATTGGAAATACTCTGGTTCAACAAAAAGACAGAAAAACAAGGCCTTCACTCTGTATTAGTCATTTATTCCACATATTTCTACCTTAGCCTCAAAATGGACAGGAATTACTTATCTACATACAACCTTAAACCAAAATAACTGCTTTTCCCCCATCTCTGACAAATAAAAAGTAAAATCACCTGCCTCCATCCAACAACTTACTCGGTTATGAAGGCCAAGAAGTCATCATAGAATAGGTGTGTTTAGAACAAAAGAAACCAGCTAACAGCCTAATAACTACAGCTCTTCAACTTTGCACCTTCTTTAGTCAAAAGGATCTATTTCCTTTAGACAGCATTACACTTCATTCAAAACAACTGGACTGTAATGCTCCACACTTCTGCCTTCAGAACACTGTAATAAAACCATTTTGTCAAAGACTACATAAAAGTATCCAGAGGGCAACACTTGTATCACCATGAGAAATCTACCAAAGGTCCACCACTGCACCCAGGAAGGCCATTACAATCCAAGCTTTTCGGTATCACTACTGCCAGCCCCCCAATTACCAGGAGCCTCAATCCTCTACTCCACCAGGAGCTGCCCCCCTAAGATTACTCACAGCAAAATCAGGAAAGAGGGTGGGGGTTAAACAGCTTGTATAAAACAGACATTTAAGCTATTAATTTTAATAGCTAATAAAAACACAATGTACCACACCTCTGCTAACAGAACACTGTATATCTCCTCTTAAATAGATTTGTTAAGTTCTTTAGATTCATTAACTTCATCTATCATTAATGCTTCATAACACAAGCTCTAACTTGGATATTAGCATCTTAAATGCTGTTTCATCAGCAGTGAGTAATAGGAACTACCTGACAAGTTAACAAGCCTCAGTTAAACTGTGTTTCAGAAACTGAAAGAAAACAGTGCCTTGTGAAAAGAGGACAGGGAAAAAAAAAAAGTTTTCTCCTCTCCCCGCTCCCAAGAGAAAGATTATTAAGCAGGAGATTTGTAAAGTGTTCAGCATTAATTACAGGTAGCAATATGACTAATGTAGGAGCAGTAACACACAATTCTTACTATTAATTGTTACTGAGGTAAGGGACGGATTGCCAACAAGTAATCCCTGGATAAAAAGCCATCTCTCGATCCACGAAGCCCTGTGTCAGCGAGGAAGCAGCCAAACGCCACTTGGACACTCCATCACAGGGCCCTTTTCCCGGCGGCGCGGGGCACACACACCGGGTACAGCCCAGCTGCTCCCCAACACGCCGAGGAGCTGCGAGACACCGCTCCCTATTCCCCCAGCCCGGCACTTGTGCCACCTGTTACTTTCTTATCCTCCGGGCCCCTTTGGCCCCTCCCTACTGACCCGCCCCAGGGCTAGCTTGGAAACTTTGCTGGACATGTGGCACATTGGCACTGCCCCAGCCTTTATCGGTTCTCGTCCTAAGCATCCATACTCACGAGACCACATCAAAGCTGAAAAAAGGAAAGCAGTAGAAAACATCTTTCAGACTCAAAAAGTAGGAAGTTAGGAAGTTAACAGTCACGTGTTGAAATCTGGACTTTCCCTACCCACTAGCCCTTAAGAGCTATCAATTTGTTTCTGCCAGCTACAGAAAGGGAAAAAACCATCATCTGTAGTGATTCTAAACACAGAACATGAGAAAACTTTTAATGACGTGCTACACTAAACAAAGCACTATGCAATTTCTCTCCTTTCCACTACATACGTTTTCTGCATCACCTCCTCAATTTGCTCAAGAGCACATTGTTTTGTGGGTTTGGTTGTGGTTTTTTTAAGTCTCTACCTTGCCATCAGCCCCGCTAAAACATGACCTGCTGTCCGACCAGAATGACCTGGAAGTAGTTCCCAGAAAGCACCACCTAGGCTTTGGGCAACCAGGTATGCAGCTGGCTGACTCCTGACACCACCTTCATACCCCAAATACAAAATACTGCATTCTAAATAATGAGTACCAAATTCCCTTTTCTATGAAAATAATTTCTAGACAACAATGAAAATCTAAGTGCCACTTATATGTTCCCATTCCAATTATCTGCATGCACTTGTTAAAACCACATCATAAATCTCCCCCAAGAAATGCACATGATCAGTGGAAGTTTACTAGTATACTTATGCATAAATATACTTACCATAGTCTAAGCAACACACAGACGAAAGTGACAGAGATGAATTATTTTACCCACCACATCCAAAGCAGTGTGTAGTAAACATTCAGGAACTATGAAATACACATGACTAGCCCTGAGCTCAGTGACCTGGGAAGTGAATTACACTTTACACATCACGTCAGTTAGCAGCTCTGGGAGATGAACACCACATTGTGTCACACACAGAGAACAAAATTCAAAAATGGCTGTTTTGATGGTGTCCCATGCCAGCACCTAGTGAAGCAGTACAGCGAAAAAAGTCCAGCCAACCCTACGGCTACAAAAATTCACACAACTCTTCCTTCGGTCCCAGTGGAAGTCCGACGACACAAAGTGCAAGTTCATCAAAAGAAGCAACACAAGCCGAGCACCCTGCAGCGAGGGGAGGCTCCACAGCACAACGTGCCAGCACCGCACCTCCACTCGTGACCGTGACACCAATCTGCTGCCTTACGCCAAGAAAAAACAGGAATTTTTTTTGGTCGGTTTCGTTTTGTTTTTTTTCTTTCCGAGTAGTGGGCCAAATCAAAAGACGCAGGCTGACGGAGGTGCCGGTGACACCTCGCCCCGCCTCACTCAGCCGAGGCAGCGAGCAGGGGAACTCCGAGCGCCCTCAGGAGCCCCCGGCCCAGGGAGCGGCCGAAGCAGCGCAGCCCAAAGCCTCGCACCCGGGTCGCCGCGGGAAAGCGGCTCCAGGGGCCGGGCGGGCCCGGCTCCGGCCCGTTCCCGCCGCCCCGGGCCCGTTCTTACCTTCGGCAAGCGGCTCCTCGGGGGTCACCTGGTACCGCCCCACCGCCAGCGCCCTGCCCAGGGCCACGCCGCTCCCGGAGCCACCGCACGCCGTCCCGCCGCCGCCGCCGCTCCCCTCGGACTTGGGCATGCGGGAAAACTTCTTCATGGCGAGCGGAGCCCCAGGAAGAACCGAGGAGGAACCGGAGGCAAGCGGCGGCGAAGGGGTTGCCCCGCTTCACATGCCGGCCGCGGCAGCCGCTTCTCCTCGCCCGCGGCCGGCTCCTGAAGGGGAGGAGGAGGAAGAGAGGGAAAGAGGAAGGAGCAGCCACAGCACCGGGCGGCTGAGGGGACGCCGCGCGCTATGCCGGGAGCGGCCGCCCCGCCGGCGCGCGGCCTCACGGCGCAGACGCCGCCCCGCCCCTCGTCAGAGTGCCCGCCCGGCCGGAAGTGCGGCCGGCCCTGCACGTGCCGCCGGAGCGAGGCGCGGCGCGAGACTGCCCCTCCCTCCTGGGCCCCCCGGGGTTTCCCGCTCTTGATGGGCCGCGCGCCCCCTGAGGGAAAATGGCGGGAAGCCGTGAGGGGGACGCGTGGGTCGCGGATTTCTCCCCCTCAGCCTGGCCCTCGGAGCCCTCACGGCGCCGATCGTGCTCCACCGACCCCGCCCGGACCGGGACATGCCCTCGAGGAGTCTGTGGGGAGCAAAGCGCTGTAGAGACGGTGTGGTAATGGTCGCGGTGCTAAAAATGGCTCTGTACGGCCAGGGCTGTGGAGCCTCTTGAGTCTGTGGAGTGCTTCCAGAACGGAAACCTCAGGGGGCGGTGGTGCAGTCTCTTTCTCTCCAGACATTCCAAACTCACCTGGATGCTTCCTGTGTCGCCTCTCGAGGTGACCCTACCCTGGCGGGGGAGTTTGACTGGATAATCTCCAGAGGTCCCTCACAAACCTAACCTAAAAATCTGTTTGTCTGGGAAATAAGTGTGAAAAGCGTTGATGGTAAGTATGAATTCCGGTGGTCTGTCCCACAAAAACTCTACGCAGAGGTTTGAAGGTGACTGAAAAGAAAGGGTGAAATGATGGGTCTGGACAGGAAACCATCAGCAGCGAAATTTAAAAGGTGCATTTCCCACTGCTGAAGTCTACTGACCAGGTACAGTTTCCTTATAGACATTGACACAACAAACCAGGGAATTTGCCAACACTGATTCGCAGTGCCCAGGCTGATTTCACATCTTGGGAGTCATCCCCGTCTCCTCCACCCCCCCAAAACCCCCCAATAAAAATGTGCTGCTTGTGTGAGTTTTTTTCTCCTTACCAAATGAAAACCTACAGGAAGACCGAAACAGGTAAGAAACACTCTATCAGTCTCTCATAGGGATGGACCAAGCTGGACTTTTGGCATTGACACTGGTAATTTATCAAAACAACCTTTTCCACTGAACACACAGGTTTTGGATGGATATCACTTACAAGCACTGGATGAGTAAAAGCTTCGCTGAGGTCCAAAGTGCAAATCTTCGGGATGATGTTTCCGTAACCAAGTAAGTTTCAACTTAATAATGTATGTTTCCACATTCTTATTCGGTAAGAAAATTACAATGTTTCTGTACTGAAGAGACAGCCTGTCACAAATGGAAAGCAATGATTAGCTGTTTGCATGGGCAGCCCCCTTTCTGAGGTCGCTGCTGTCCTTTCGGTAACAGCAGATAATTTTTTCAACAGCATACAGAGATTAGCTTGCAGTGTTCCTTGGGAGAGAAAGGGATTTTCAGTGCAGATGAAAGGAGCAGAGTTCTGTGAGAGGGATAACATAAGCAGCAGTGTTGTGTTAATGAAGGCATTCCTACAGTGAGATATGCCCATGCCTCAGATATTTAGTGATCTCTGAGAAAAAATGCAGCTAGGTTAGGGCACATTTGGTGCCACTGACCAGTGTGATTTGTCTGCTTCTCAGTAAAAACAATGCATTTGCTAATCGCTACTGTGACTTTGAGAGTACAGCTGGCTTTTCGGTTACCTGCTGAGTTTTTATCTGTCTTGGAGTTCCCAGCCCCACCCATGTGTTCTTGTTTTAAAAGTAGGAGGTTGAAGTATTGCTGGAGTTATTTATAGGCCGGAGAAAATGAGCCCTCTTGTTACACTGGGATTAACGCTGCTAATCGCTGTCTTGGCATCCTAGAGAACACAGAGCTCCTGGGATAGCTGGCAAACGAGTGTGTCAGCAGTGCACGCTGGGCTGCGCTTGTGAGCGTGGAGTGGCTGCAGGGCTGGCTTGTCTCCTGTCAGGAATCTCCAGGAGCCATGCCACCACTGCCTTACCGTGTTCCACAGCACCTTTCTCCTCAGGCTTGGCCCCAAATGGGTTTTTCCTGTGACATGCCAGCATGTCTTCATGTTAAGGAGTCCCTTTTATTTAAGTACAGGTCAAGGAAGTTCAATAATAGAGAAAATTTTGACAACTCAATTAAAAACACATGCCTGATTCTCCAAGCAGCTAACTGAGTGATAATTTAAAATATGTTAATAGGACCCCTCTCTTTTGTTTAAATCCTCGCCTGAGCAGAACAACATTGTGACATTTCTAGAAGCTACATTAATTTCTGGAAAGGAAGAGTTGTGAGTTGTCTTTCACTGAAGGTTTGAAATCCAAAGGAAACTTTGCTGTCCCTTGCTGAGTTAAAACCTCTCCTTTGGTTCAGGCAGAGCAAGGATGCTTTGGTCTCCTGCGTCTGCCAAGTGTGCAGCAAACCCCGCCTACTTAATGCAACAGCTGTTTGGCAGTGTGACAAACAGATCAGAAAGGTGTTTGCACTACTTAAAAAACAAACTTTAATATCTTGAAAGTACTCACGAGCAGTTTTTTTCTGGTTCATGTAAAACAGTAAATGGTCTGAAGAAAAAACTGGTGATCAAGAACAGAAAATCGGAAATACAAATCCTGAAGTTGAGAGACATCAGCTACAAAGGTGGAGAATAATGCAGAGGCTGCACTAAGGCCAGAATATCAGTGATCATTCAGGGGGTAGGGGAATGATGGCCTATGTAATGGTTTTTTCTTAAAGTTTCAATTTGATGAGTTGTGACATCATAGAAGATACTCAGCTTTCATTGTGAAAAATAAAAAATAAGAACAATATGACAGTGGAGCCAATACTGAACTTTGACTGCGTGATAACAAAGTCCCAGTCGCCTGCTCTGTATGTCTCCACCACAATATTGGAACGTTGTGCTTCTCCCTTCCTTTTGTTGCTTGGGGTCTAAAATGTAGATATGTTCCTCCTTTTTAAATGGTTGTATAATGGCAGATCCATATGGCATATAAGTGATCCACCTCCTGGCTCTTGTTCAGCACACATCTGGCAGGTTCTGTTCCGGTTAGTGTCACAGGAGCAGGTCTAGAGGGGTGTCTAATGCAGCAGTAACTGTGTTCTCCATGCCCAGACTACGAGGGCCGCTGCTTGTGTCAGAGGGTGCATCCATAACTTTATTTCCGGGCGCTGGAAACCTTGGTTCCTTGAGCAGTGCCCGGCCTCAGAGCTCAGCCAGTGTCCTGTCCGTGGGACCAGAGCGAGGCAGCTTCCAGAGGCTGGCTCACCTCCGTGTGCAAAGAACTTTGCCACCTATTAAACAGTGCCGTGTTTAGCTGGACCGCTGTAAATCCTGTAAAGATTTATGGAGGAAAGCTCTAGCTGAGAACGCTGCTTGAACATGAAACATCGGATACTTCACGTGCACTTGGAGTGTGAAACGTGATGGTTTAATCCTCTTTAAACTGAACGGTTCAAATGCCAGCACCTAGATTATTGTTTATCAAGCATTTCTGTCCTTACATCTGTCCCTACTCATAACTCTTTCCTCTGTACAATACATAAATTTGTTTTAAATCAATCCCATGAGGATAAAACAACTTCCTGCAAAAATATTTAAAATCCCTTACAGAAAGAATTTATTAAGACAAAAGAGAAGTCGAAAATTTCCTCTGTGTGGGTACTGTTTTGGAAGTCTCTCTTGCTGCTTCTGGATAAACTCTTTTCATTCTAATTGCTCAAACTGAATGTTAGAAACAGAAGAAAAAAAAATCTGATTTTATAGAAATATGGCCTTTATGTATTGAAACTTCGAAAGAAATTGCTAATAGAGGGTCTCAAGTGCTCAGCAATTACTGCAGTAAATTGTTTTTTTGTCTAATGTGGGTATGTGAGAGTTATTTTCTATTTTGTAATAATTCAGTCAGTGCAAAGGAAGCACTGCCAGAGAGTGGGTTTGCCCAATAAGCTCTTCTAATTAATTTTCCCCTCTTATTGCTTCATTGTTGCCTGTTTTGCTTCTGGTCCCCTGACAGCCGTGAGAAACATTATTTTACACACTTAAGTGGCTCTACAAACTTTCTATCTTAGTAAATGCTGTGTCTTAGTTTTGTACTGCTGACCCTGATGCAGTCTTGTTTAGGCACAGTTACTGAAACCGCACAAAATGTTTATGATGAGCTAAAAGCTAAGAAAACCCCAGGAGACAACCGGTTTGGGTTTGGGTTTGCATTTTTTCTAGGATGAAGTAATATCCCAGCTCCCCATCTTAAAGGCAGGAGTGGTAATGAAAGGCTCTTTTGCTTTGCTTTATTATATATACAAACCTGCAGAAAGAGTTTGGTATGTTGTGAAATATCTTGGCATGGAAAATACGTTGATGCGGGGGGAATAAAAGACAAAGAAAAGAGCTGGAATCATTTGGAGCAGAGGGGTGGCACAGTCACAAATCAGTCAAAAAGCAAGTGCATCCTCTGAAGGCTGCCTTGGTTCCGAAGGTCTGAGCAGCCTTGGAGGCTTTGCGGTGACCTTGTGAACAAAGGCACATTTTAATTCCTCTCAGTTTCTAGCATCTCTTCTAATCAAGAAAGAAACAAATGGAGCTGTGGAAAACAACTAAGCTGCTGATTTCCAACTTTTAAATGAAAACAAACTGAGGAGACAGCTGGTGAAAATATTCAAGGTGCAAATAAGCTGACATCAGCTTTGGTGACACCCAGCGCAGTTCTCATTGACACTGAGGTCAAGAGTCTTTTATTGCAACACGAGATTCAGTCATTCGTACTGCAGCCAGCATTGGTACCAAACAAAATATAAATTCCTGGTCGAGATGACAACTCTTGGCCCGTTCAAAACAGTGAGG